CCACGCCCTGCGGCCCCGTGAGTACAGCCCTGCCCCGAGGGGGTGGAAAAACATGGCTCAAACCCGCGTGCGAAGTCAGGTGGAGAGGGACAGGCGGTGTCCGCTCGCCGAGGCTTGGCACAGCTCTGCTGACAGCGCTGTGGAATGCCCTGAGCTGGAAGGGACCCTCAGGATCATTGATCAGCTCCTGGCCCTGCTCACACACCCCAAAATCCCACCTGGGGCAGCTCCTGGGACCCTCAGGATCACTGATCAGCTCCTGGCCCTGCTCACACACCCCAAAATCCCACCCTGGGCACCCCTGACAGCTCCTGGGCCCCTCAGGATCATTGAGGCACAAAGACAGGCTGTGGGTATAAACCAGGACAATCTAAGCTGAGATTAATTATGAAATAAAGTTACACTTCTCCCTTCCTCACCAGTTTCAATCCAATCGTGGAGAAACCCTGCACTGTCTCATTCACCCCACTTACCTCAGTGTGATTTTTTAGGAACAGCAATGAGTTTATTCTGCATGATGTGTCAAAGAGTTTTCTCCGTTTACAGATAAAACCATGTTCAGAGCTCTCATTCCCTGTGAAGATCTACTTCTGTGTCACTATTTTGTCCCTGCTGAGTGTCATAGGGCTGACCATCGAGACGCTGGTGCGCCAGACTGAGGAGGATTTCACCATTTCCTTTATTCAGTTGGTTGGAGTTGGTAAGAAACCCAGTTTGGATGGAGTAAATAATGAAAATAATAATAAAGTAACAATAATAATAATGATGATGGTGTTGTGGTTAAGCAGGAACTAAAGTTTCTTATATAAGAGAAACTGGATGTTCAGCTATTCCAGAAAAGTTCACCAGTTCCTATTTTAAAGTCTGAGCCATAATATGCTGAGAATTCTCGTGTCCACAGTCCAAGCTTCCTTCCTTGGGTATTTTTCCAGTCAGAGTTTCAGCAGAAGCTTTGTGGGTCTGTTTGTATTAAACAGAAATTAACATTAAAATAACCAACTCGAGGATTTCAGGAAATCTCATGTGCATATGCCATCTCTGCAAAAGGCTTGATGACCAAAAAAGAGTTTATTTTCAAATTTGTACAGATTCTGTGGATTTTGCAGCTGAATTTGCGAAACAAGGAAATACCATCTTAAGCCTTTCAGGTCTTCCTGAGGTCATGTCCACAAAATCATGTTTCACTTTGTAATTGGCCAATGATTTCCCATTTTCTCGGTCCCTGTTAAGGGCAGTGAAAAAGGAATTTCATTCACTGAAGGTTTGTTTACAGAGACTGAAGTTACTGTTTAATTGGAAGATTTGTACAATGCTGTCCCCATGTCCAGCACAGCAAATTGGATGAACTGATGTGTGGAATTAAGGAAGCAGTGCTTTGGAAAGAGAAATTTGTTCTTATTTTGGCTGCTGTAAGAATTAACCAGTGTTTGCAGCAGTGTCCTGTGAAAGAACAAAGCCTTTGCCTTTTTCATTTCATTCCAATAAACAACTGGACATAATGTTCAGTGTGGTATTCATAGAAGTTTGGATAACACACTGTGGCAAGCACATTCTCTCTCAAGATTTTTCATAGAGGAGCACAGAGGAAAGAAAGAGAAAACAATTTCTATTTCTGCTCCTTGTTTTCCATGTGGAATGTGTTTGGAGAATTGTTTCCCTGGGGTGATGGGTTGGTTGGGTTCTGGTGAGGATTGTTTGAGCTGGTGGCCAATCCAACCTACCTGGGGCTGGGCTCTCAGAGAGGGTCATGAGTTGGGAATGAGTGAGATGGGAGTTAGAAAAAGTGGGTTTGTAGTTTTAGTATCTCCTTTAAATAGCATATTAATGTATTATAGCATAGTTATAATAAAGAAATCATTCAGCCTCTGAGCTGCAGTCACACATCAGCATTTCTCCCCTCCGGGCTCCCCTGCATTTACAATAAGTGGAAAATTCTGAGAAAGTGAGAATGTACTTGCCACATACACTGCCATTTTCACAGTGGTACTTCACAAGTAATTAAAAAATATAACCAATTATTTAATTTATTGTGTGCTAAACACAGCAGGGAGTGTTTTAATCACCTGATTCAAGCTCCTTGGTAAGAACAAAGACCGAGGAGCATCAGGGACACTTTGCCCCTTGCCCTTTGGCTGCAGAATTGGGAGTTTTGCCCCGTTGAGCTGGCACTGACATTCCCTCTCGCCCCCAGTGTTCTGTGTGTATTATGTGAGCAGGGGCATCCTGCAGGAGAACCGCCAGGAGCTCTCTGTGTTTGTGCTCTCCATCCTGCTGGTGATGCTGCGCTCCATCATCAACTTCAGCCTGCTCCCTGCTGAGCAGAAGCCAAAACTGCTGGTCAGTCTCTGCTCCTCAGCAGATTTCCTTCCCCCCTCAGCTTGGGTTTGAAAATGCACCATTGGGAGGGCAAAATGGCTGTGCTAACACAGATCATATTTTTTATTTATTTATTTGTTTGTTTATATTTATATATACATATATATATATGTATAATCAATTATTTTTATATAGTAATTATTATTAATACACAATATAATATTTATATTACATTACATTTACATTACATTATAGAGTACTATAGGATATATTATAATATATTAATATATATTAAATAAAATATATATTATATAAAAATTATTTAATATTATTGTCCTATATATAATATATATTCTTACTATATTATTATATAGTGTATACTATATACTATTATGTATACTCTATATACTGTTTTGTATATGATGCTCATCACATTTATCATATTTATATATTATATATATATTTAATGTTATACAATAGCTTATATATTCTATTTATTACATATATTATATATTTTATATACTTATATGATCTTTTGTATTATATTTATATTAATTTTATTTATTTATATTTATTATATATTATTATTTATTACATATTTTATTTATTATTTACATCCATATTTATTATTACATATTATTTATAACATATAAAAATATTTAATGTATTTTTGTATTTGTTTGTATGTTTTTGTATTTAATTTTTTGTATGTTAAATACAAAATTTTTATTTTGTATTTTTTAAATTTATTTTTTGTCTTTTTGTGTTTCTTATGTATTAATGTCACTGATAAGAGAGAATCAGGCTCAATTACTGCACAACAAAATGTGCACACCCACAACTGCAATTCTTCTCTGAGCTGATCTCTGAGTTTCCTTATGGCAGCACCTAAAAATAACAGAAATATCAAAGAATTACAGAAAATTACTGTGAAATGTATCCTTCACCTCACCTACCCTGCTTTAGATTTCCCTCTGAAATGTCTGGCCCGAAGTCACAGGAATCTAACCCGGGCTACCTCTGGAATCCCAGTCTGTACACAGTGCACATAAATGTGTTTTTATCAGATTTAGGGGAACCTGCAAGGAAACAAAAAGATCAATCACGGCACTCCAGGTTATCCTGTTTGCATTTCAGAGCAGTAATTTTTTTAAAGGATTCTATTCTAGGCCTTACTAAGGTTTGTAGTGAAATTCCCACTTGCTGTGCTTCTGGGAAGTGCTTTCTTTTTATCACATATTTCTCAACAAGCTGTGAAGTCATCCAAAAATGACTCTGCAGCAGGAGAGGGAGCAAAGCAGCTTTGCCAATTCAGTTTATTTATCTTTACCCAGACTGGGTTGCTAGGGCCAATAAGGAAAAGGCATCAAAGAAATGCAGGTCACTTTTAAGAGGCACAGCCAAGTCATCAGTTTAAATATTAAGCAAGAGCTTCAAAGTAAAGCCTGGTATAAATGTGAAAAGTAATTTTAGGTTTTTTTTTTTACTGTTCTAACTAACTTGGATTACTCTAACTCTGTTTCCTGAAATAATTTCTAGTTATAAATATTTTCATATCACTGTAATTCTGAAGGATGTTTTGCCACGTGAGCCATCCTTAAAGCAGGAAAAATTGAGTGTTAATTCCAGCAGAGTGGATACCAAAAGACACAAACCTTTGTTTCTTGGAATTGTACAAGTCCAGCACTGAGAATAACCCCCTGTCCCAGTGGGAAAAGTTGTTTTGTTCCAGCAGAAACTCAGAAGCAGTCTCTGTGAAGATTTTGCTGCTCCTGCCTGTGTTCCCAGCGGGGTTCAGGTGCCAGCCTGCCCCTGCTGTGGCAGTGCCATGGTGTTTCTGTCCCCCAGGCCCGTTTTGTGCTGATCCTGCTGGTGGGCTCCTTCGATGTCATCTGTGCCCTCGTCCTCATCCAGAGCCAGTCCATGATGGCATTCCGGGTGGGGGGAGCCCTGGAGAGCCTCCAGTCCCAGTACTTCATGCTCAACCTCTGCTTTTCCATGCTCACTTTCGATCTGCAGGCACAGGTACAGAGCTCTGATTCCCTTTTTCCCTCTTCCTGATGGTATCTTGGACTGGCTGAGCTGAATTATTCCTTTCCAAGAGCAATCATCTCTCTTACCTTTATTATATTAACTTAAAATTGGTTATCGCTCCATGGGTTTGTCATAGCTTAGCTAAAATCCATATAAATGAATTAAAATCTTTTCATTGTTGTCCTGCACAAAAGGAGCTTATTTTTTGGGAAGTTTATCCATAAAAACAATTGCATCCAGGAGCTCCACCCCACCCACGGCCTCCTGAAAAAAGCGAGGTTATTCCTGCCCATCTCAGCCTCCAGTGTCCTGTATTGAGGAAATGATTCTGGAGTGGGAGAGGGGAACTGGTCCAGCAGGGCAGTGAGACAGAAAATTAAATTACAGATGGGGGAATTGAGCCCAAGACCTGTTACTTCTGTAAGCAGCCCTCATCTTTATTTCCTGCTGCTTTATCTGCTCTCTCTGTTCTCCTGGTTGCTCTTATACAGGGAATTACCTCTGTCCTTCTTGAGGAATAATTCAGCTTTTAGACCCATGCCCAACTTGCTGTTGCAGGGAGTTTGTGGCAGATATTTTTTGGTGGGGCTGCACAGTGCCAGGAATGATTTCATGCAATGTTTGCCTCCCCCAGCTGTGCCTGTGCATCCTCCTGATCAGCCTGCACGAGGTGACGCTGCTGCACAACATCATCTCAGCCACGGGCGTGGTCTGGGGCTGCCTGAAGGTCACCGTGGGCATCATTGCGGTGAGTGTCCGGCTGCAGGGGACACCAGGGACACCCAGCCCCTGGCACTGCCCATCCTCACCCCACAGGCTCAGGAGAGGGAGCCAGGACGGAGAAAAGCAGAGCACCAACAGTGCTGAAGCCAGGTTTTGTCTAAATCTGTGTCTGAACTGAGCACACGGAGTGAAGTGGAGTCACGTTGTCATTGGGCCGTTCTGAGGGATGTTGTTTTAGTCTCAGTCCTTGATCACTTTAGAAATCTGGAGGATTACACTATCTTCAGTATTTCTGTCTCTCTGCCAAGGCTGGTTGAACTGGGAGCAATCCTCCAGGCCTTAAATCCTTAGGAAACCACACCAAAAAGATGATGGTCCTTTGCTGGGGCATCTCCTTCAAACCTCAGAGCTTCCAGGTTAACCTAAAGATTTGTGAACTTGAAATGTCATTTTTCATGTCAGACTGAACCTCCTCTGAAATCCTGAGCCTCTGTTCCAAGAAAGATTGCAGAATCAGGGCCAAAGTACACCAGATAAGTGAGTTTCTTATTACCAGGAAGGAGTTTAGGGGTTTTTGGGGGTGGATGTTGGTTTAGGCTCCTGGGGTGTTTGCTTTAGTCATTCACACAGATTCACACAGCTGAAATACAGCTCCCTGTGGGTTTTGATGGCTTTCCTGCATTTAAAACACATCAGTTTTGGGTTTGGGGGGAATCTGGTGCTGATCAGATACATCAAATCCAATCCTAATACTGGCACAGTCACTGCTCTCACCTCCAGTGGCTCAACTGCTTTTCCTTCCTTGCTCAGACCCAGGGCTGCTGCAGTCCCCTTCTTCTTTCCCAAGCCCTGGGGTGAATTGTGAAATTAAATTCTCCTGGCACTTCAGTCCTCTTGCTTCTCCCACACTTCACTCCTCAGTGACTGCACTTCTCTGTAGTAAAAAGAAAGGTAGAGAAAAAAGCCACAGAGAGATTTTAGTCTGTCACCTATGAAAACATTCAGCTGCTAGAGGAAATCTGAATGTGCTCAGGAAGGTCATCATCACTCCTGGCCCAGCTCAGGGGAAAACAGAGGCTGAATTTCCTGCTAAAAAACATGGGTGGAGAAGGGAAGTGGAGAGCAAAGCTAAAACTGAGAACTCAGCTTAGCCAACACTTGGAATGTTATGAAAAATCAACTATATGTAGCTTTTTTAGAATATATAGCCACTTTTAAAAGCTGTATCTCATCTTATTTTGCAGATTTTAAAAGAGCTGAAACCTCTGGTGTGGGTTTTCCTGATTCAGAATGTGCCTGAGGTGGTTTATCTCATCTACCTGCTCTACACGGTAAGGGGAGCAAGGCTGGGAGGTCTCACCCTCATCCTTCTCAGGGCCCAGAGATGTTGCTTTACCCTTCCCTGCAGCTCCTGCTGGATTTAAAGAGAGCAGAGCACATCCTGCCTCTCCAGGATCAACTTTTCACAATAGAGATGAAGTTGCTCTTGAACTGAGTAGAGAGAGGCTCTGGAAGTCCCTGCAAAGAATGATGAGGGAAAGATGAAAGAAATTCTTTTTCAATATACACAACTTCTCAAAAATGCTCCCCCTCCTTCACAACAAGCCTCAGGTGGTGCCAGAGCATTTGACCAGGGCTCAGTTGTTGTGTTTTAAAGAATTTCTTAGGCAGCACACACAGCTGTGGATCCTGTTGTAGCCAAAACAAGGCGGTGCAAGCCAAACAAACTCCAGTTTGGGGCAGTTTTTTGGCTCTGTAAGACTGATAATACCTTTATCAGTGAGCACCTCCCACAAGATGTGTGAGGAGAGAGGAGGGCAGGGGGAAGCCAGGCTGTTCATGCCTGGCAGGGCTGGAATGCTGAGAGTGGCCAGTGCTTCTCATCCTTCCCACCCACAGCCCCCAGACACCAACACCACCCTGGGGCTGCAGCCACCCGCAGCCTCAGGGATCCACTTACCAAATGCAGCTTCCCATCATTCCAGTTTGAGCTGGCAGAGCACAGCAGGACTCCACACTGTCTGTACATCATGAAATCAGAAAACTGAGATGGTTTCAAAGTGACCAGTTGGGTTTTTCTTTTTTCTTTTTCCCCAGTTCCCAGCAGGTGACTCCTCTCAGAAATTCAGTGCTTGTTGCATGTTGTGGCTTCAAGGGTTTTTGGCAGCAGGTGGTGATGGTTTCGTGTCTCCCTTTTCCTGCAGGTGATAAGGGAGTGGGGCAAAGGCAGTTCTTACACCCTGGAAGCTGCTTTCATCACTGGCTCCTGCATTTCTGTCACAATAAAATCTGTTCTGTTCTGGGCTCTGGTTCACGTCTACCGTAGCTTCGGGCAGGGGCTGAGGGAGAGAAGTAAGTACCCCAAAAATTCACTGAAAAGGGTGGGGCCTGTTCTATCCCTGTCCCAGTCCTGGGAAATAGCCAGGAAAATCCTTAAGAGGAAAAGGCAGATCCCCAGTCAAGCAGTTGTGCAGCCTCAGAATTACCAGGCTGACAAAGCTCAGAAGTTGGGTGGAACAGATGTGGCTTTTCCCTGGAGAAAGCTGCTGCCAACCTGAGCAAGAACTGCTGCTGTCCAAAAAAAAATCACAGCTGTGCGAGCAAACCTCTGGCTACTTGCAGTGTTTCTCTCACACTGTATGACACAGAGACAGCAAAGGGACACCGATGTGACACAGCCCAAAGCTCCAGCTCCCCGAGGGTCACCGAGTCCCTGCAGTGCTGCTGACTGAGCTCCTCTCTTCCCACAGTGTTTTCTTCCTATGGAAGGATCGACTCCTGAGCCCTCCCTGCAGCTCTCCCAGAGCGAAGCCACCCCAGGAGCTCCTGACCAAGGACCTGCATTCAGGGAGGCAGTGAAGGGTCGCTTTCCCAGGATGGAGGAGGTCAGGAAGGTGTCACACATTTCTTGGAGCAGTGCAGGTGGGACAGAGTTTGAAAAGCAAAATGCGTTTGGGAAATTGGTGCATCTTTCACTCCTTTTCCTGCTGCTTTGGAAGCACAGGGAGGGGTCACACCCACATGTGTGTGGGGAATGTTGCTCCTTTCAATGCTTCTGGCCTGGATAGACACAAACATCATGAAGGAAATTTGCTCACCCATTCTCTGTACCCGAGTCTGGAAGGTGACTGTGCTGCCATCATTTCCAGCTTGGATCTACTGCACAGCAGCTCCAGCCCTGACGGGTTGGTGACTGGTGTCCCCTCTCTAAGGCTTCTTTTCCTCTCTGGCTTCAGAATATTTCAGTTTGGTTTTTTTTTTAACCCCAGCTACACATGAAAACTTGTAACCTCACCCCTCCCTCAGCGTAACCAAGGTGCCATTTCATACCAGGGGGACTGTTACAATGAAGCCTTTAATATTGTAATTTAAAAGTTTGGTATTTTATTGACTGGAACCTTTAACTACTGGCTATTTTTAAATAAAGTATAAGCACAGTTTGTGTATGGATAATTATTTCACATGGAACAGCACCAATTCAATGGGAAATCCCTTATAAAACTGGATAGGGAAGAGGTTGGGACTGGAATTCATGGGTGCTGTGGACATTGCCACGACTCTTCAGACACAGCTTTGTTTGCAGGCAGCTAGACACTGCAAAAAGCAATTAAATGAGAAACTTAGCTTATATGGGAGATTTACAAGGATTCTATCAAAATTGCTGTAATTTTTTCCTCATCTGAGCACTCTAAATCAGAACTTCTATTAGAAATAAGTATTTTTCTCACCTTGATCCCCTAAATCTGAATCAAATCTATTTTACCTGCAGCCCAAGGGAGGCATGAAGCGGTTAATGTGTGCAGGGGCTGACAGCAGCAGCTGCCTCCGTGACTTCACCCCACAAGTGCCAGTGGCAGCAGGGATCGTTGCTGGAAGAATTGAACATTTAAAGATCACAACACAACGTTTTCAGTCCTTCCCTCACCAAGCCCAGGCAGCAGGGCAAGGCTCTGCTCTGACACAAAGCCTGTGCTGGGCAGAACGAGGTGAAGGAAGTGTTCTATGGCCAGGTCACAGTGGCACTGTCACAGAAAGTGCTCTGGCCATGGACAGCACAGAGTTTGTCACCAGCCAGGCATGGAAAGGTAGAAAACCCTTTCAAAGGTGCCTTGTAAAACAAAAACTTCACTTAAAAACAGCTCCTTTACCTGCAAAAGGCATCTCCTCACATCTCTCAGCTGCTGGAATGAGTTACAGATTAATTATGAAATTAAAAGACTCTTAAACATCATTATTAGTATTAAGTTCCACTGGAGAAGTGGATAGAGCTTCATCAGAACATGCTTCAGGCATTTAAACTTCATTTTCAATCCTAAACTTCCTGGATAAAAATTAATAGATTATTTGACAAATTTATCTGATCCTTATCTATTTGACCCTTATCTATTTCTTTCCTCATATATCTATTATTGGGCCTTTCAAAATGGTATTTAAATGAAGCCCAGCTGGTTGTACAGAAGATTTCTTTCAAGTTGCACAGCAAATCCACCGATTATTTCGAGACTTTTGAGAAAAACCTGGTATCAGACATTCAAAAACCCCTTGGGTGTATTATTCCCAGAAAACAGATGCCACTGTCCCATGAGAAGTGTCAAACCCCACACAATTCCAAGCAACTGATTAGGAATTCACAATTTTATATTCTCCCCAGTCAAAGGCAAATCGACCAATCCAACTTTACAAAAAGATTTTATTGAAAGGATTGAAAAATATTTTGTTTCTCAACAATATTTAAAACCAAGTTTTCAATGTGTTAACAATATGTAACAGGATTTTTCATCTTTTAAAAATTCATTACACTTGTTTTATTCCCTACTACAGTTGGTAACAACTTCTCCAATTTCTACCAGAGGATAAAATTAATTTTTTTTAAACCCACCAAATTAATTTCCCAGCTTCCATTTTGGCCCTTTGTAGATGAAAGGATTTGTAGGTGCCAGTGACTTACAAAGCCTTTTATTAAAAAGTTTTAGTCAGCAAACCCCCATTTTTTAGCACAGTTTAACCAAGTTATTCTGAATAAGCTACATTAGCAAAATGAGGTTTTATTGCCAATGACGTCAGGTGCATTTCAGCTTTTTTCTGGTTCAGCTCCCCCATTCCTGGAGCAGTTAAATGCAGAACTCCAGGGCTGCTCCAGCCTCACTCTCCTGCAGTTTGCAGATTAAAAGCCTTGGAAAGCGACTTTGCACACTCAGATCAACTTTGTGATGTGTTAACACAGCCCGGGCTGTGAAAGCAGCTGGGCCAGGGAGAGTCAAGGCAGCTTTTGGAGGAAAAGCCAGGACTGAAGTCACTGAGCCAGGGCTGCAGCTCTGCCTGGGCTCAGCAGCCACCCAGAAAATGCCTTTTCACAGCAGGAATTCTGTACAAGCAAAGCTGCAGCAGCCTCAGAGCCAGCAATGCAGGTGATAAATTGAAAGAAGAAATTTCAAGCCAACCCCTAACGTAGCTCTGAAGTAGTTCAGTACACTTTGATTACAGATTTAATTACCTGTGCGCTCTGAAAATTAAAAGTTCGGCAATCTAGTCAAGAATAGCTTTACTATTATAAAAAGCATAAATAAAAAGTGCTGAATATAGTTTTATCTTTAAAAAAATACTAGATAAGGCTCATAAATCATTTCACCTCTGCAAAATGATTTTCCACTCCCCAGTGTGCCTTGAACTGTTCATTCTCCACTCATCCACACATTTCTCTAGACACCATACCCTGTTCCTTCTCTCAATTATTGCATGTTTAAATAAAATAGTTCCAAAGCAAAAAAGCCTGACACTTCTCTAGTTCAAAAAGTAACCAGTTATCAAATAACTGAATACTCCACTTAGGAAACCTGTAAGCAGCTTCAAAACAGTGATAAAACAATTACTGCAGATTCAAGTGAAAGAGAAATCCCAAAAGCTCCCTGGATATTCTCCAAGATATCCCAAAATCCATCTGGTTTTGACCAATCAAACCAAAATTCTATTTTACAAAATGTACAAACCAAGTGTTAATTTATACCAACATTGCAATTTCAATCGTTAGCCAAGAGTTTGCTTCTCTTTTCTGGAAAAGTGTTCTCACCTGCATTTCATGAGCTCAGCCCAGGGCAGCATCCAAAGGGATGAGACATTATTGAAACCACCAGAGGACAGTTTGGAAATGAACCCATTTCCCATTTCCACTTTGGACCACAGAAACAACATAAGACAATCATGAAAAACGGTTCAGCAGAGATTCTCCCTCCGTTCCCAAGGAAATCCCACCTCAATCAGGAAATTCATTCCTTGGCAAGATTCTGCCACAGGCATTGAACAGCTCCTGTCCCTTCCTTCAGTGAGCGATGCAGCAAGACTTGAAAATGCTGACGTTTGGATAAGATGATCAAGAGACTGCACCACAGAGAACATAAATGTAAACATTATCCTTGGGTTTGCTATTTTGCAATTAAAGTACAGTACAAACCCTTTCCCCCCACCCCCAACCAGTTCTTTTGTTGGGGTTTTTTGTTCTTTCATAAAAGCACGTACAATAAAATATGTACAGAGAGAAGTTAGAAACATTTGAAAGCATCTTAAAAAAAGTAAATGTGAGACTTAGAATATCTTGAGCGTGCTGAAGGCACCATTGCTACTCCACTGGGAATGTGTCCTCTCATTTCTCCAGCCCACCAATGCAGAATCCCACCCTGGAGTGCTTAGCACCAAGAGCTGGAAGGTATCCATGGAAGTTGAGGGCATTCAGGATCTAGAATAGGATATTTTCTTCAGGACAACAGTGAATTCAGTAGTAACTGAAGTCCAGATTCTTCTTGAACA